GAGAATCACAAGTTCCACACCATCATCTACACAGCAGATTCAAAGCCAGCCTGTGATGCATGAGACCCTGTCTGAAGAATACAACAGAAAAAATGAGATATCTTAACAGAGGCTGTCTCTAAGAGGGAGACAGCAGTCAGGGCCATTCACTGTGAGCATAATTCAGAGTGGGTAGAAGGAGGAACATGGAACCAAATGCTCTCCCTGCCCACACTTGCACAGAGGACACCAGGGAGTGTGAGTGGGTCAATAAAAACACAACAGGAAGTAGACAGGACTCCTGAGAGCGGACAAGGAAATACACTTCCTATTTTTTTTTTTAGTCAATGCCTTAGAAAAATTTAATATGACACAGAAACATGTCCAAGCTAAAGACCAGAGAAAACTGATGAACTAGCACATATATAAGGACAATGCAGAGCCAGAAGTCACATGTCACACAGTATGGAGTAGTGACCAATGTCTGAGTTGGCCATTGCTGAATCTGGTGCAGTACCCATCTATACCATGTGTTCCAAGTTGCTTCCTTTATCCCCTGCTTTGTGTTTTTTGTTTATAACCAGGGTATAATCAGAAAGGGGAGGCGGAATCTTCAGTGGATCTATGAGTGCAACACAAGATTCAAACAGACTATCTTAGTGTGAAACCTGGGGAAAAAAAATCAAAAACCACTAAAAAGTATATAGAGCCCTGAAGATGTAGTTCAGTGGTAGATTATTTACCTCACATTTGCAAGACCCTGGGTTCACTTCCTAGTACAAGGGGCAAATAAATTAGTAGGAGAAATAATAGTGAGCTTAGTTGTTACTCATTCTTGAGCATCTGCTATGAGCTTGGTCATGCTTCACATATACAAATCACTTACAGCAATCCTGTCCACTGGGTTAGAGGAAATGAAGAATGAGTTGCTGCAAAAGTTATATTCTCAGAATTCCGCAAAGACCAAAACGTAAGATAAAAATGGAAAGGCCTCCCCTTTCCCTGCTTTCCCCTCTCCTGCTCCAGTGGACCCTCTGGATCCTGAAATTTGAGACATATCTAAGCAAAAGCCAGACCTTCAAGTTCACTTGTGAGCATGGGAAGTGAGTTGGTAGGAAGCCAGCACAAAGCACATGCTTTCCCAGTGGTTCTCTAACTTTAGACCGTGGGCCCTACAGAAGACCAGCAAACAGGAAGCCATCAGCCAAAGGACACTCAGACTTCTCCCTGGAAGCTAGCAAGCAGCCTAGGGTGAGGACAACCCATCCTCAGCTACCGTCAGCCAGACTGCCCAGAAAAGACAAGGCTCAGAGCTGGTAGTGACCCAGGCTTCCCAGTGAAGGAGACTGGAGAAAGGGACGTTGCACCCAGGGATGAGAGGGATGAGAGAGACTCTGCACCTTCGTTAGGTCATCCTCCCTACATCCGTTAGTTGTCTTCCCAATGCCAGTTGAAGTGAGAGTGCCTTTTAGTACAATGCCCATGTTTATGTCTGTGTGCATAACTAATTGACAGAAACTAAATGCTAGTTAAGAGATGGGTGCAGAGTATATGAATTACCACGTCTTAAGCAGGGCAGAGAGGCCTGATCTTGGCTTTGTGTGCATAGTCCCCATGGCTCAAAAATCGGCACTGAGTGACAGGGATGCTTGCTGTGTGCACTTTGTTTTTAAGCCAAGGTCTCAAGTATATGTAGGCTGAGGATGATCTTAAACCTCTGATCCTACTGCCTCTACTTCCTGAGTGCCAAGATTCCAGGTGTGCACCACCACATCTGGTTTATGCAGTGCTGGCAGTCAAACCCAGGGCCTTGTGCATGTTAGACAAAAGCTACCAACCAACCTTCATTTCTTCTGTTATTGCCTTCTGACTGAACCCTGGAACTTGGGAGCTTCCTTTGAATGGATACATTCATTCATTCAACTGACATTCATCACATACACACCTCTGCCTATTTTTGTATTGGATAAGTATAAATTGAATAAAATCCTTAGTGTACCCTGGAGCAGATCACAGGCTAGTGGGATGAGGTTAACCAGTGCTTGTTTTCCATAGAGTAGCTCTCAATCACCTCCCTTAGAAATAAGTTCCTGAGTCTTACCCAGGCCTACTGAGGTACAATCTGCATCTTCAGCCAAGTCCTTGGGTGATTCTCAGAAGGGCCACCTCCCAAGCCTATGCCTTTTAAAGTCACTGTCTTCCCTGGATGCCTCTAATCATAGAGAAATGTAAGCAGTCATATTCTGGGATCAATTCATACCCTGCATTTCTTACTACATTTATTTATTTAATTATTATTATTTATTTATTGTGTGTGTGTTTGTGTGTGTGTGTTTACACGTGTGCCACAGCACTTATGTGGAGATCAGCAAACAGCTTTTGGGAATCACTTCTCTCCTTCTACCACATGGGTCCTGGGGATCAAACTTAGTCATCAGGCTTGAAAGCAAGTACCTTTACTGCTGAGCCATCTCCCCAGGCCCAATCATGCTGTTTAGACAGTAATTTTAACAATCCTAGTGGCTCTTTCAGTTGTTGAGGGAAATAACTCAGAAGTGATCATCTGTATGTACTCAGCTTTCCATAGCCAGATGCAAGTCCAACTGCCATGAGTCAGGTCACAGCAAAAAGTCTCAGTTAATTAGCAAACTGACAACTCAGCCTGTCTGAGGAAGCAATAGGAACAAGAGCCTTGTGTGAGGGGCGCTTTATGGTGCCTGGTCTGCAGATTCTCTGCCAGGAGCCCCTGGTCACTGTTCCACATGCTGTTCTTCTGTCTCCCAGCTCTGAGGGAACTGTTCTCTAAACACATCCTACATATTCATTTTGATTCTTTTTATGCAGAACAATCCTCCAAAAACCAATACTTTCTCTTTTTACCATATGGTCAAAGTATGTCTTCTCACCAGGCATCGTGGCACACCTTTAATCCCAGCACTTGGGAGATGGAGGCAGGTGGATCTCTGTGAGTTTGAGGCCACCCTGGTCTCCATAGTGAGTTCCAGACCAGCTGGGGCTACAGGGAGACCCTGTCTCAAAAAGACAAAAAAAAAGGATGTGTTCTCCTCTCCCTCCTTCTGCCCTCCCTTCCCTCCCCTGTTCTGCCAGCCAATAGCACTGGGGTAATAAGACTACAGGCCAATGTTGAGCCTTTCAGCAATTCTACTCAGTTGGAGGACATCCCATTTTCTTCTAGGCTAAAAGTGCCACTGTGTGTTTTCAGCAGGACAGGTGAATAGGGTGAGCATTTCCTCCCGGTGACACCCATGGCATGGAGAAAGACAGAGTTCCAGTAGACAGTCATGACACTCTACCCAGGCCAGAGCATCTAAGCATCTGCCCTGCATGCCTGTGGGCATGGCAGCTAAGCTTAATAAACCTTTCTTGGGGGAAACTCTTCTAATCTGAACAGTATCTCTGAAGATAAGACTTTGTACTATGTCTGGTTTTATAAACTATTTTTTTGTATGAGTGTATTGCCTTCATGTATGTAAGTGCAGGGCCCACAGAGGTCAGAAGAGGATGTTGGATCCCCTGAAACTGGAGTTACAGATGGTTGTTCGCCACCATGTAGGTGCTTGGAATCGAACCCTGGTCTGCTGCAAGAGCACTGAGTCATCTCTCTAGCCCCTCTACTGGGCCTGTTTTAAGGTCCAGAGATATTATAGGAAGAAAAATGGGAATCCATCAAAAAAATACTTCTAAGTTGTATACTTAAAAAGCTCTGAAGCTACAGAAAGCATAGAATCCCTTCAGATCAGTTGTGAGGGGATGGTTCATTCAGACCTGTATTTGCTAAACCATTTCATTATAAGGAAATTTCATTTTCATGAATCTTAAAATTGGGGAAATCCTAATCTGATAGATGGGCATTCTATGATGTAGAGTGGGATCAGGCTCCAAGGCTACCCAGCTCAAGAGTCTGAGACACTTGGGGAGTTACCACAGATTTTCATTTCCTCATCAACAAAATAAGGAGGAGCCTCCTTTGGCCTCAAAAATGATGATCACCCTAGTGGCTTAATCTGTGTGTGCTTCACTTTCTTTTGCAGAAGGAAATTTCAGAAAAGCTCTTAATCTCAAGGTCATTAAATGAATATATACATATATACTCATATATATTTTTCTATGTGTGTATATAAACCTAATTTCATATATTTCGTACGTATGCATACAAGTATCTTTTATGCCACTGTCTTATAATGAGTCATTTTTGTAGTTCAGTAAACAAATTCTAGACTCTTCCAACATGAAATGAACCTGGTAGAGCTGAATCCATTTCTAGCCTGAATACTCTTTGAGCAAGACTTTTTTCAGAAATAAGAAAACATATACCAGCTGTCTTTCAGAACTTACTCGCATACTACTGTCATTCTTTGGGTTCAGTCGAAGTGGGTTTAAATCTTATTTTTGATAGTATGAGTTGTAAAAAAGAAATGGAATTGGTATGTCTCATGGTTTGAGGTATGGCTATCAAGAACAGGGACCAAGGAGCTAGGGAGATGGCTCAGTCAGCAAAATATTTGTTGTGCAATTTGTTGTATGAAGACCCAAGTTCAGTCCCAAGAGCCACATTTTTAAAAAAGCCAGTCCTGGTGGCATACACATGTAACTCCAGACATAATTGTGGAAGTAGAGACAAAAGGATCTTGGGGCTAGCCAAATCAACAAGTCCGAGGGCAATGAGAGACCCTGACTCAAAAAACAACACAAGGTTGATGGCTGCTGAGATGTGACACTCAAGGTTGTGTAAACACACACACACACACACACAAAATGGGGATCTGGGAATGAATTGTATCCATCCTACCTAATGTTCCATAAAGCCTGTTTGCATGCTGATTTTGAACAAAGTACAAAGTCATTTTTCTCTGCTCTCAGGAGTGGCCTAAGCTAGTGTATTAGTTACTTTATATTGCTATGATAAAACACCATGACCAGAGCAACTTATAGAAGAGTTTATTGGGCCTACAGTTCCAAAGGGACAAGAGTCCATCATGGGGAGACATGGCAGAAGGCAAACAGAGCAGAAAGCTGAGCGTTCACATCTTCAAGCAGACACAGGCAGTATAGATGGTGTAACTGGAAATCACATAAGACTTAAGAACTCTGAAAGTCCATCTTTGCTTACTCCACAGAGCTGTACCTCTGAAACCTCCACAAACAGCGCCACCAACTGTGCCAGGCATTCAAATACTTGGAGCCTATGGGGGACAAATTATTCAAATCACATAGCTAGTAAACACATCATTTTAATTTTAGAGAGATGTAAGGTTAGATTATGGCTTAAATTCTTCCTACTGCCATATGACCATAAGCCCACCAAGCTCCACCTTGAAACCATGCTGTCTTGAATTCTCTGCCAGCACTAGTACCCTGTGGTTGATGTGTAACATTCTGTGCCTGGGTTCACTGAGCCTGGGTTCTCACACTATAAAAATATACATAAAGATAATTTCAATTTTTTCATGTTGAGAGAGCATTAAATAAGTCAATGTACATAGAACTACCTAACAAAATGCTTGGCCATATAGTAGATCCTCCTAAATGTCACTCAAAATTGTGAATATAGTTAATACCACCGACTTATAGACATAAGCTCACTTATGGAGTACATTTTATACTATGTACATTTTAGAAAGAAAAGCATTGCTATGTCTGACCATCTGGGCTTCTGAGAACTTGGTCGTATAAACTTAAAGCAATGACGACAGCATGCACAAGGACCCATGCAAACTCAGACAAAAAACCCAGCATAGAATGGGGTGATGGGCAGTAGGCCCCAACCTTAGCTGAGGAACTATTGGTAGCTGATCACAGCTGGGTAAGGGAGAGTTGGTCTTCTTTAAGAGAATGACATTAGGTAGGCTGAACAGGCTCCAATGCATGAGCCACCGCTTCTTAATGCCTAAAAGATAGCAACCACATCGCCAACATTTTATGAGCTAAGAACAGTTGAATGAAATTGACCCAGAGTCACACAGAATGTTTATCCAACAGACCTTGGAAGCCCTCTGTTCTGTACCCAAAATTGCTGCATCCTACCCAGCCTAGAACCACCATCTTTATCCCTTCCCCCATGCCCCCAAAGGGCCTTTCCAACTTCATGAGTGGTTTTGGCAGCAGGGGGTGGGGTGGTGCTGAACTTCAGACCCTATTTCAAATGGCCTGACGTTTGCACAATGCTGTCCAGTGTTCTTCCTGAGGCAGAGCCCTGCCCTGGTGTTCAGGTAACTGAACAAACACTTCCTTGAAGCCATGCTGTCTTGATTTCTCTTCTACTACTGTCTATGCTCAGCCACAGAAATGTAAATCCTGAGTTGCTTTGTTTTACCCAAGCAAAATGAGACTTTTCAGAACTAATAGACATCTTCCCTTATTTTCAAATTTGTTTTTGAGTTTGAAATTCTGGATCAATATGCCATTCTTTTTTATTTTGACTGCTGATTATTTTGAGTTGGGTTTTTGATACTGTGGAACTTTTTTGAATCTATCTTACTCGCAGTGAACTTGCATCTCTTTAAAGATTGTGGTCTGGAAAAGTAGTTTGTCTTAGACTTTTTTGATTTAAAAGTTGTATGTAGACTGTTACTGCTAACAGCTTTTACTTTCTAGGGGAGGAAGAGGGGCAGCAGTATGGGGAGAGGCTCCTGACAGCGTAGGGTAGCTCCTGACAGCCTGGGTGTGACTTATCAACAAAAAGCCATAGGCAACTGAAGAGCCGGGTAATCAAGCAATAGGTAGTTTGGCAGAAAGAGCCCCACATGGATAAGCATCGCATATGATATGGTTTTCTTTTGATTATAGCAAGCGGACGAGACCCTGGATTTTGAAGAACAAATCTTGGAAGCTGCTAAGTCCATTGCTGCTGCCACAAGTGCCCTGGTCAAATCAGCCTCAGCAGCCCAAAGGGAGCTGGTTGCCCAAGGCAAGGTGGGTAAACCTGGCTGGCCTTAGAGCATCAGTGAAGGGAGAGGAAGAAAGTTTAGCTTAAGAAAGGAAATGCATGTTGGGCTTCTGTTACTGGGTTACCAGTCTTTGCCCTACCACTGCAAACTGCTTGAATTCCTTGCACTGAATTAAACTTTGGCTTTGGGCCTCTCATCTGCTTCTCGTTAAAGGAAAGCATCCCACTCCAGGCAACAGCCAGAGTCTGACAGACACTTATAGTCCCACTGTACATTAGGCTATTTAACTTGTCAGAGTTTCCTGGTGAGCAGCCCAATAAGTGCCGTGATTGGAGGTTCTATAATCCCACTTTCCAACCAAATGCCTCCACTTGGTTTTAGGACTGTTGAGCTGAATGCTAACCAACTTTACAGTTAGCACTTTGCTGAGCCTGTAGGTCACGAGGTCAGTGTGCTTTAAATCTGAAATTTCTTCAGTCTACCTCAACACTATTCACCCATTCCACCTGGACTTGTAAAACACTGCTTTGTTTTTTTAACAGTTAAACTATGTCATGTGTTCTGTTGTTCCTGTACATGAGACCACCCTATCCAGACTGGGTCTTTCTGAGAGACTCCCAAATGCAGAGACACTCCAGAAACCTGTAGAGTTATGGATCTGAGAAAATTTGATCACTTGTGTGTATGTGTGACAAGGCATTTGCTGTCTGCGTACAAAGATTTGGGTTGAGTCTTGTAGAAGAAACCAGAAGTTATGCCTGACCAGTGGCTGTTCATCTTCCACTAGGAAGTCACTTGCATCTTAGTCTAATGTACATGCTTGCTGTTCTTTCTAAATTGTCACCTGGTATGTCACAAAAGACCATCACATATGTCTTCTTCCTTCCAGCCTCTGACTTCTCTCACCACTCCTGAGAAAATAATTTGTGTTCCCTTTAGACAAGGGTCTGCTCTCAGTTGCACAGGTGATATACCACCCTTTGACAGAAACTCACAGCATGACTTTCAGGGTCAGTGAGCAGGAGAGATTCAAATTGCCTTGACCCTTGGAGGAGGAGGAGGCCTTGGTGGCTCCAGGTTTTTAACGAAGGAAAGATCAGCAGAGGAAGTCAGCTTTTAAAGATAGCCCTTAACCATCATTTCCTAGAAATGTCGTACCCAGCAGCTAAATAGGAGCATTTTCCATCACCTCAATGGGCCAGGTCAAAACCAGCCAGCAGGTACTGGTCCAGTTAGACGTGTAGCCAGGATCCTGTGAGAGAAATAGTTGCTATAGTCCAAGACAGGTGCTGTTGGTAAAGGTGATCAGACATGCTGGGTGTCCAGTCGCAGAGCATGGGAGGGTCTGAGAGGGCTGCAGACTACCTGCTCATGGACGGCTTCTCCCTTGCACTCTCCAGGTGGGCTCCATCCCTGCCAATGCTGCAGACGACGGACAGTGGTCACAGGGACTGATTTCTGCCGTGAGTCACCTTCTTCATTTGCTTTCTGGATTTCCCCAAGGGAGGTTTGGGCCTCCAGTGACCTCTCTATTGACTGTCCTCAGGCCCGGATGGTGGCAGCAGCGACCAGCAGTCTCTGTGAGGCAGCCAATGCCTCTGTTCAGGGACATGCAAGCGAGGAGAAGCTCATCTCATCTGCCAAGCAGGTCGCTGCTTCCACAGCTCAGCTGCTGGTGGCCTGCAAGGTGAAAGCTGACCAGGATTCAGAGGCCATGAGGCGGCTACAGGTAATGGTCACTGATGCTGGTGGGAAAATACTCCTCTTGGAGCGGGTAAGTGTCACCAAAGGGGACCGTCTCACTTCCTTGACATGACCCACCAGGCCTCCCATCAGCTGTCTCACTTTTCAACCTCATCCTCTACTGTGTGTATCCATGCATCCCACAACCAGTGCCTACCACATTCACATTGAGGGCCTCTGGGCTCCTGTCAGAGGGCCAGTACTCGCCTGGAATGGTCTGGCCTCCCACCAGCCCAACTTAGCCATCTCTTACTTGTCCTTCGTGACTGGTCTCAAAGTCACCTTCTCTGGGAAATCCTCCCTCACTTCCTCCTCTGTTCTGCCAGAGGCCTGGCCACACTCATAGTTTCTGTCACATGGAACCACTGCCTTTATTTTTATGTGCCAAAGCTATGAGCATCTTGAATACCACATCTTCGTGGTGCCTGATTCAGAGGAGGCCCCTAGATGAAGTTTGCTCCGGCAGGGAGAGAAAGCACAGAGTATTTATGCAACTATTACTAAAGTTTCCTTCCCAGAGCCCAGAGAATATGTTTACGAAGGTGACAATCAAGTCCTTCCCCATACACATTGTTCTGATTATTTTAATTATAGAACTATTGTAGGGCTGTTGAGATGGCTCAGTGAGTACAGGCACTTGCTGCCAAGCCTGATAACCTTCGTTTGACCCCGAGAATCCACATGATAGAAGGAGAGACTCAACTTCCCAGCTAGTTGTTTTCTGACTTCCACATATGTGGTGTCACACACACACACACACACACTTTTAAATTTTCTAAAATCCCATTTTAAGAGCCAGGCTTAATTCCCGTACTTAGGAGGCAGCAGCAGGCAGATCTCTCTGAAATCAAGGCCAGCCTGGTCTGCATAGTGGGATCCAGGCCATGTGGGAGTCCCCGTTCCAAAAAAAAAAAAAAAATTCAGTACAGTGAAGGAAACATTCGAATGGGGAAAAAAATCACATAACTTCAATGCCCTCAAATGGCAAATGTTTGTTTTCTGTTTCTTTTGTTACCTACATGAGATAGTCCTGTCTGGTTTTGATCATGACAAGATGCATCCTGCTTTCTTTTCACATGTTATGTCATCATGCACATTTTTTTCCTTGAGGACAGGGCTCCATTTTTCATGAGTGTCATTTTCAATGATTGCATGGTATTACATGAACTGATTGTGCCGGAGCTCCCCCGTGCTTCAGACGTGTTTGTTTCCAGAATTAGTTTTCTGGAATTTCAGTATGATAAATGTTACAATATACATTGTTTATATTGCTTAGAATTATCTGATATATGTCATGAATAAAATCATCAAGGACAGAAGTGTTTGGACAGTTCTTCCAGATTCACATCTTGTTTTATTTTGAAAGTTCTCTTTCTCTCTTGACTGTGGAACTCCTGAGTTTGGGAGGCACTCTGAGGAAAACACAAGTTGAGAGAGAACTGGGGTCAGTGTCTACAGATGTAGATCAGCTGATAGAGTGCTTGCCTAGCATGCACACAGCCTTGGTTTAATCCAACACCACATAAGCCAGGCCTAGTGGTATATACGTGTAATCCCAGCTACTTGTTACGTGATTGTAATAATTCCCTATCAAAAATATGTGCTTTGGTTGGAGAGATGGCAAACGAGGACCCAAGTTTGATCCTCAGAGCCCACATAAAAAAAAGCTGGGTTTGTTGGCACATGCTTGTAATCCCAGTGCTGGGAAGGCAGGGACAGGAGGATCCCTGGGACTCCCTGGCCAGCCAATCAAACCTAATTGGAGAGCTTCAGACCAGTGAGAGACCCTGTCTCAAAGGAGTAGATGGCCTGTCTAAGGTTGTCCTCTGGCCTCAGTGTTCACATCCACATGTACCTACCCACCCACACATACACACATGTATTTTTTTAAGCATGTGCTCCTTGGGGGCCAGGAATTCTATCTAATTCATCTGTGAATGACCTGTAGCTAGATGCCAGCTAGTGTTGGTAGAGTTCATGGATGGTAGACCAGTGCATACTCACTGGCTCAAGAGAACTGCTATGTTACAATTCGTGTTCTAATGAACTGTACCTTCATGTCTGCTCTTGCCAGAGCTGTGTGCTGTTGCTCATGGTATCACATGTGTCTTGTTTCCTCTGCAGGCAGCAGGAAATGCTGTTAAAAGAGCCTCAGACAATCTTGTTCGTGCAGCCCAGAAGGCAGCATTTGGCAAAGCTGATGATGACGATGTCGTTGTGAAAACAAAATTTGTGGGGGGCATTGCTCAGGTGAGTGATTAACCCTACCATAGTATTTATTCTCAAGATGCGGGTTATATTATGATAGACACTCAAGATTACAGTGCCTTGGGGCTGGAGAGATGTCTCAGCAGTGGAGAGATGTCTCAGCAGCACTGGCTGCTCTTGCAGAGGACCCGGGTTCAATTCCCAGCACCCACATGGCTGCTAATAACTGTCCATAACTCTAGTTCTGGGGGGATCCAACCTGACCTCTATGGGCACTGCTCAACATGAGTGCACTTACATACATACAAGTAATACACTCATACACATAAAATAGAAATGATACAGTATTTTAGAAAGATAACAGTACCTTAAACAGGATGCCAGTTCATTTTGTCTTCGTGCAATTGTCTGGTTATAAGAGGTCTAGGGATAGTATAATGTTTCCTTCATCTCTCTTATTATCTTCCCTCCCTAAAATACTGTCCCTGGCAACCTGGTCCAAGATGGCTTAATTAGCAACTTCAGTGTTCCATCTCTCAGGAAGAGCAAGGAGCAAGTGCCTGAAGCTGCAAACAGCATTTCCTCCCCCATACTGTTGATCAGTACTTAGTCACGGGGCAACCTCGTCACATAGAAGGTTGGAAAATGTAGTAGTTTTTTCTGAGTAGTCACGTACCTAGCTAAAAATCAGGAATTCTGTTATAGAGAAGGAAAGAAAGAGAAGTTAGAGTATAGCAATGCTATCATTTCAATAAAATGGCATCTGTGGAGCTGCTACTGTTGTCAGTCCTTCAACAGCAGAATAAACCCTCACTCTCTCCCAGAACTTTCCTAAGAATACGTGGGCTCAGCCTAGGGAAGATTGCATTCTCATGCAAGGAAGAAATGCCAGGAACTCAATCCTGCGGTGTTTGGATGTGTATACCTCCATTTCATGGGGCTGTTTTTCTTACTGTTCCCCGTGCCTGCTTCAACTCTCCCAAACTACTCTGTGTTCGGCTGTGTACCGGATGCATTTTGACCAGAATGTATTTCTTCAACTCGGTTTTTTAGAAAGCTCACATAGAAGGATCTTTAATGAATTAAATTTGGGTTATACTATACCTAATATCCCCACCTTGGTCACAAAACTTGTTGGCCCACTAAAGACTCTGGAAAGGCCCACAGGAAAGAAATTTATTTGACTTTTCTAAACACAAAATTATCTTCATTCCACTATACCAATTAGCTAATATTCCTCAGATCAGACCTTAGAAGCATGAAAAAATTGCAGTCTGTCCTCTGTATCTGTCTTCAACTTCCACATGTGTGGATTCAACCAACTGTGAATTAAAAATATTCAGGGAAAAATTTGAATCTGTAACTGAACATTTGCAAGCTTTTTCCTAGTCATTATTCTTTAGCAACTATGTACATGGTGTTTACATTATATTCAGTATTGTAAGTCATGTTGAGATGATTTAAAATATGTAAGAGGAGTCTGGGGAGATGGCTTGGTGGGTAAAGTGCTTGTCATACAAGCATGAGGACCTGAGTCCCACCCCCAGATCCCGCACAGCATATATAACGCGTGTGTGTGTGTGTGTGTGTGTATGTATGTATGTATATATATATATGTGCTAGGGGTCATGGCACACTGGGAATCCCACAGCTCAGGAGGATCCCTGGGCTAGCTCACCAGCCAGCCTAGCCTAATCAGTGAACCCCTGGTGAAACTGAGACACTATCTCAAAAAACTAGGTGGATGGTACCCTGAGGCTGACCCCTGCCTTCCATATACACATATAGTCAAGTACGTGTGTATCTACACACATACATAGCTGCACACATACAAACACACACACACATATTCAGACACTAAATAAATAACAAAAAGTATTCAAGATAATGTGCCTAGATTATTTGCAGATACTATGTACTTTTATATAACAGACTTGGGCTTCTATGCATTTGGGTGCCTCATCCATCCCCCATACATACCAAAGGCCAACTATATATTAAGGCCACCTAGTGGTTGAGGGCTCCAGCTTTAGCTTCCTGCACACCTGAGCCCCATCCTTCTCCATGGTCTGCACCTACCTCTCTCTTCAGATTCTTCCTCACTGGAAACATAGGACTTTCACTAGGGCACACTTCACAGGGTTGCCACAAAGTGGTGGGGCAATCTAAGTGAAGTGCTGATGCAAGCCTGGCACAGAAAAGGGAGGGGTGCAGAAAATGCTCACTACTAAGTCCCTTGCCGGAAGTTAGCTGTTTTGTTTTGTTTTTTTCAAATCAGCTGGTCATTGGTCAAAACCCAAACAGCAGTAGAGCCTGGTCTCCAGACCTAAGAATGTTGTTCCTGGGCCAGTATGATGACTATGTGGGTAAAGGTACTCATATGTGTAACCATACCTGCTGCCAAGCCTGACAACCTAAATTCAATCCCCAGGACCCATATGGTGGGAGAAGAAAACAGACTCTTGCAAGTTGTCCTCTGACTTCTACATACTCACCACAGCATGTGTACTCACATACATGCATGCGTGCACAAAATAAATGAACTTTTTTTTAAAAGAGGAGCTAGAGAGATGGCTCAGCAGTTAAGAGCATTTGCTGCTCCTGCAGAGGACCGTATCTGTGTCAGGCAGCTCACAACTGCCTATACACCAGTTCCAGGGAGATACAACACTCTCTTCTGGCTTCCACAGGCATCCACACTCACATATGCACATCCGTGCACATACACACAAATAAATAAAAACAAATATTTTATTATTATTTATTCATTCATTCATTCATTTTAGGTCTTTGTAGCTCCAGCTGGTCTAGAACACACCATGTAGAGCAAGCTGAGTTCAATCTCACAGAAATCTGGCCACCTCTGCCTCCCAAGTGCTAAGATTAAAGGTGTGCACTACCATGCCTGGTTTAAATTTTTTTTAATTTATTTATCTGTATCTCATGTGCATGAGTATTTTGCCTGCATATAGGTAGGTACAGTGCCTGTGGAGGCCAGAAGAGAGTGATGGATCCTTTGGAACAGGAGTTACAGATGGTTCTTAGCTCCCAGATGATTCTGGGAGCCAAACTCAGGTCCTCTGCAAGGGCAGCCAATGCTCTTAACCTCTGAGCCATCTCTCCAACCCCTAAAAAATAATAATAATAATAAAAATGCTGTTCTGCCGGGCGTGGTAGCACATACATTTAATCCCAGCACTTGGGAGGCAGAGGCAGGCAGATCTCTGTGAGTTCGAGGCCAGCCTGGTCTACATAGCGAGTTCCAGGCTAGCTGGGGCTACAGGGAGACCCTATCTCAAAAAGACCAAAAATTTAAAACTTAAAATTAAAAAATGCTGTTCTTTTTGCCCTGTGTCCATTGTGGAAAGGTCATGGGACAAAGTGACTTTCCTAAAAGCTTGTAGTCCATTCTGCTCTCGCTTTCCTTCCAGATCATCGCAGCCCAGGAGGAAATGCTAAAGAAAGAACGAGAACTGGAAGAAGCCAGGAAAAAGCTGGCCCAGATCCGCCAGCAGCAGTATAAATTCCTACCCACTGAGCTGAGGGAAGATGAGGCCTAAGGCCAGGCCACTATGGTGAACCCAGGAGATGGCCCCCAGGCAAGAACTGGACAGACAGTGTTCCTAAGAGCCAGACACTTATGGGAACCATCGACCTCCTCCTGGGGTGATTGATCCCAGAGCCCCCCCTGAGCCTTGTTCTCACTTCTCAGTCCTGTCACCACTGGCTGCATGATCGTGATGTCACACGGTACAGTGTCCCACCCACAGCTCCTCCACCCCTCCCCTCATGCTTCACTATATCTCAGGATTGAGGGGTGCACGTTTCTTGGACTGTTACCAAAAGAAAGAGAAGTCAGTATTATGTCATTCTCAGACACCTTTGCTCTTTGTCCTCCTCCAGGCCTGCTCCAAGGGCCTCTCTGTGAAATCACACTAGGAAAAAATAACAGTGGGTCACAGGAATCATCAGTGTCATAGACCCAGATATTCTCTCATGAGAGAAGACAGAAGCTGGAGTTAGACACGGTCAATAAAAGCCAGAAACATGCACCCAGGTGGACTCTGGGGCCTAGAGTGACTGAGGTCCCCCCTGGTTCTGGAGCACTCTGATTCACCCATGGGGGTGAAGAATCCCTGCCCTGTTTGCATGCTTTCTTGCCACCGTGTATAAGCTCCTTGTACAATCTGCACCCATCTTGTATTCTGTGGCCCAGAAAATCAAAGTTGTTTTTTTTCTCCCTCCATAATCCAAAGGGCAGAGTTGTGGGAGGCTGTCAGGGCTTGGTGGGTAGGGGCTGGAATAAAAGATGTGGGCTCCTTACTCTGCAAGGCTGTTTCGGTTCCTACAGATGCACTCACACAAACTGTGTCCTAGATTGTACTCAGTGCAGTGCCCCCTGATAGGGTCAAGTGGGACTTGAGCGGGAATGAGGAGCCTCCATCTTCAAGTCCCACATCACTTTCTGTACTGTTGAGGGTCCAAATTCAAGATGGGAAGTTACCTGTTTAGAACTATCACCTGTCCTCCACCCGAAGAGGACACTTTTTTTGTATCTTAGTGTTCCTAAAATCTAAATGTACCCTCGCCTTGATGTGAACCTTTAAGTGCGGCAGCATTGCTTATTGTCACAGGGGTGTTTCCAGAGTCTGTCATTTGGGGCACTGCTTCCAGTATTTCGGATGTCTTATCTTTCCTTGTTTGGCCCCTCTTCTGGGAAGAGCATTATAAGTCCCTGAGTTTACATTTAATCTCAGCCCAAGAAGATGCATGAAGGATGAATGGCCTATGGGCTAGAGCCTAATGTCAAGTACCAGTATGTCTCAATGAATTCATAAGGGGAAGACAGAGGTCTAGTAGGGGTGGGCTGGGGCTGTAGCTTAGTTGGTAGACTGTTTGCCTAGCTTGCATGCACAAGGCTCTGAGTCCTATCTCCAGTACGCATAACCTCGGCATGGTGGCACATGCCTGTAATTCCAGCACTTGCGAGATGGAGGCAAGAGGCCCAGAAGTTCAAGATCATGCTTAAAAGATAATGGTTTCAAAACTGATGGCTGTTGAAGGTAGACATCCTCAGCTCTGTGGCCACCTTCATGTTGTACCCACCACAGTTTCAAATTTCTACCCAGGAGGAAATGTCAGTACTCTGGTCCTTAAGAAAATGTCATCTTTCAATCTTGTCAGATGATTCTGATTTAGCAGACCCTACCCCACTGCTGTGGTTTAAATAACTAAACTTTGGCAGCTTCCCATATTTATAGGCGCTTTATAAGTGCCACACTTAAGAATATTTTTCAAACAGGTAGAAAGTTAGAAAAACTATAATGTGAATGAAAAGCAAGTAGAGAGAGAACACATGGACAAAATAGGGATGTGCAGACACCTTCACTACCCACAGGAAGGCAGACAGCCTTGCTCACTTTCTGAGCATAGCTCTTTATGCCTGTGCCAAGTGAACTCTGAAGACTCCGGCCAGGGTGCTTTCCCAAGCTACTAAGTTACAGACCCAACAGTTGAGACATGGTAAAGACCTTCCGCAGGAAGACTAGAGGCTGTGCCTCAGGCAGCTACCCCTCTTCCCTCCTACCTGTTCCCTTTCACATGCTGCACCCCAGGGGTAGGGTAAGCACAGTGAATTCTCTGTCCTTGCCTCAGGGGTAATGGATATCAGAGAAAACCTCCAGGGGCAAATGGAAAGGAAAGGCCTGTCCTTCACAATCATAAAGAGTGGGCATAGAGCTTTGTATTTTAATAGGACCTGTGTCAACACCCTCTAGTTTGGAGTGGCCTGCTGCTAAGTGGTTTGGGGAAGCTGGTTCCCAGGTATCACATGCCACGGTCCTGTTTCTCACCTGTCCCTTTCTCACCCATGCTCTCTCTGTTCAGAATTTCTGTTTTTAGTGATCAAAAAAAAAAAAAAAAAAAAAAAAAGGAATTCTGCTTGCTTCTGCCCTTCAGAAGTCTTTGGATTAGATGCTAAAGTCATGTTTTGTCAGAGAGCCCTCTTCCAGTGACCAGTCAGCGTGCCCATGGAGGTCAGCACAGCAGGTCCTTGAGATCTAGTCAGTCCTCCAGGTGTCACTGGCAGCCTCCAGAAGCAGCTGCTCAGCCTGCAGTCTCTGCACAGGCTCTTAGCCTAAAAACCACTCTGAGCTGCTTGTAGGACTCAGCTGCTTGCTTTCTGAGTACTCTACCAACTAACAAGTATACAGGCAACTGAAGCCAATCCCTAATATGTCACCCACAGTGCACCCAGGTCTGATGGCACATGCTTATAATCCCAGCACTTGGGAGGTGGAGGCAGGAGGTTCATGAGTTTAAGGCCAGCCTGGGACTTGGAGCAAGATCCTGTTTTTTATAATCAAAAGCTAGGGGTATAGCTTAGTGTTAGAATGCTTACCTAGTCAGTGCAAAGCCCTGGGTTTGTTCCCACTAGCACACACAAACAGCCCCCCAAAGTATAATGAAATTTTACTGCAACTTAAAAGAATGTATCCCCACCTCCTAAGTGACCCCAGAACCAAAACCCCATAAAGGAACCAGGGCGGAGGTGGTAAGCTATACTGTCTGCTCCCAGGGAACTCAAAGGCCTGTTGCCCTTCCTCTTTCCTCCCTGCTAGGTGATCCCCCAGATCTCCTCTCCCATCTGTGAGGTTCTGGATTATGGCCTCTGGGATTTAGACCTTAAGATCCCAGCATATACTGGTCTGCATGCTTTGCTCAGATCCCTAGAGAAAATGAACTTCTGTTGACCAGTTGGACAACTGCTTCTGAGAGCCTTAGTGGGATGCAAAGAATTGGGAGGAAATGTGCACAGCAGGCTGAAAGGCTGCAGTCCCCAGAATACTGAAACCCAAAGGTTCCATCAGCTGTGCTGGTGGCTCTTCTCCATAGTCCTTCCCATAGGGCAGCCGGAGGAGGCACCCTCTTGTGAGGAAGGAACCTTTTGCAAAGTTCCCAACACCATTACTCCATCTCCACTGCACTTGTGCTTGGTGTGTTAGGGTTATGATTGTTGAGACTGAGCGTGGGATGGAGTTTCTGTTAGTCTGAAAATACCATGAAGAAGAGCTGATGCTTTTATGAAGGAGGTTGGGTTTTATTTGATCTTCCCAAGCCCGCCTCCTTGCCCACCACGAAGCATCAGTGTGTGAGTCCCTCTGCAGCCATGTCCACCAGAAGAAGGGAAAGGGAAGCTCTGCCCTTGTCATAATGTCTCATCACCTAAGTTAATTTATCTAATACATAAATTATTTTTTTTATTCATCAGAAATAAACTTTTAAAGGAATGAACTTGTGTGGAGGTTTCATGGCAATGGGAGGGAGGTGGAAAAGAGGGAGGAGAGTATCTTTATCCTGTGAGAGAAATTCTGCTGTGAGTACCAGCCATCTCCACAGTAATCAGGGTGTGTGTGTGTGCGTGTGTGTGTGTGTGTGTGAGAGAGAGAGAGAGAGAGAGAGAGAGAGAGATGTGGAGGTCAAAAGAAAGCGCCATGGCCAGACAGGAGGCAAAGCCACAGGATGACACCCAATTCCATCCAGCTTTGCTAACATGAAAGGAAGTTCAAAATGGCCAGACAGGAGGCAAAGCCATAGGATGACACCCAATTCCATCCAGCTTTGCTAACATGAAAGGAAGTTCAAAGAAGAAATAGACTGAGTAGGAAAATGTGATTATTTTCCTCTGAAACAAGCAAGCTTCCTGAACAAGTAGCTTTGGACTTTTGACCATGCATGTCATCCACACTGGAAGACTGGACAGCTAAATACAGGCCATATACAAGGCACTTGACCTAGGGACCTGACACAGGAAAGTTAGGTTCACCTCTGACAGCTGAGGCTAAAAATGTCACCCCCAGCTTTCCTTCCAGTTTGAGGGGGAAGATGATTGGCCAAAAGTTCTTATTTTCAGGGCAGCTGGACCTAGAAAAATGTGAGGCATTCCTAATCTACAAGATGAGGGTGTCAAAGAATCACCATAGTAACCAAAAGTGTCACTGGTATGTCCACCAACTAATAAGAGGAGTCTTTTAAACTCAAGCTAAGACAACTGATAATGAAGTTTTCATATCACTGACTTAATAAGAACAACAAAAATGGGACTGGGGCTGACCACCACCAAAACAAAGGTGAGAAGCCTGCAGTGCAGACCAGGAAGTAGGGTGAGAAGCTACCATTTGTTGAGTCTCCCTAGTCCCAGCCTGGGATATGTGGCCAGACACATAGCTCAGCGTTCAGCAGCCATAGAGAAGGTGTTTGGCCATTCTGCAGAGGGACAGCCTGAGACTCAGCAAAGCAGGATGTAGCAGGGTGCAGTTGGCTGCTCTTTGTTGAAACGTATATCCTCTGCACAGGAAATCAAGTTAGGCTGACAAGCCAAGGACCTTAACCTGACATGTCCCAGCACCTGCTGTGCACAGAACACTGAGGCCCAACTCAGCTTCTCAGAGATAATTCAGGAAGTACGAACACTTGACCCAAAGATATGGGAGAACAAGGCATAGCCCTGAAGGTAGGAAAAGCTTTCCAGAGGATTGTGGGAACGGCTTCCCAGAGGATGGTATTTTCCTGACTCCTGTGTACAGGAGTTTCACAGACAGCGAAGGAGGAAAGGCTGACACTGCAGGATGACAGGTGTAAAGGCCAGAGTTTAACAATGCAATGCCATAGGGGAAAGGAACAATTTAGTGAGGCCTGGACTTGGGCCTGTGGTACAGAGAGGAGGCAGTCAAGAACACACCATGCAGACCCCAGAACTCCACAAGGATGCAGCAGAGAGGGAATTGCTACCAATGAGGATGGAGCAGAGATTTCCTTTCTAGATAGCTAACCCTTGCTGTATATTTTATTACTCCCATTTAATCCTTACAGCAAAACATGCAGGTATTCAGCCCCATTTATTAGATAAAGCTGAGGAACAGGAAAGTTAGAGAATTTTCCCACAGCCATGTTGCTATTACAGCTGGAGTCCCCTCCCCCAATTACTCTGTTAAGATCACTTAATAAGGGGCAAAGTCCCACATTGTTTCTAAAACTCATAGTGTGTTGTTGTTTTGTTTTGTTTTGTTTTTTTACAGGGTTTCCCTGTAGCCCTAGAAGTAGACCAGACTGACTTCCATCTCAGAGACCCACCTACCTCTCTGCCTTCTGAGTGCTGGTATTAAAGGCATGAGCATACCCAGCCATATTTCTTTTACAAACTTTTAAAATCCCCCTTTCCCCCTCCCTCTCTCCTCTCTCCCTCCTTCCCCTTCCTCCTCTCCCTCCCTCTCCTCTCCAGGTGTACATATAGGTGTGTGCAATTTGTGAATCACATGTGTGGATGTCAGAACACAACCTCAGGTGTTGATCCTCACCTTCCTCCTTGTTTGAGACTGGCTCTCTTGTTCTCCACTGCTTATGCCAGACTAGATGGCCCATGCAAAGCTCATGTTTTAACAGTCAGTCTTTGGAGATCCTTGATATAAGCCTGGCCTATGAGATAGAAATCACAGGCATGGGTGGACAGAAGGCCTGTGGAGTGGACATGCATGCTAGAAGCTTCTGAGTAATGAAGGACAAAAAGGATGTGAGGGGGCAGTGAAGACTACAGGAGCAGAGGACCATGCCATATGTTGGTGGCAGGGAGGAGACATCAGAGGTCACTAACTGAGTACCTCCCTACACTGCTAAGGCAGTGATGGGGCGCTTCACTTTACTGTATTCCCACTAGTTTCCTCCACAACCTATTTTGGGGTCCTTTTTTTTCAGACCACAGACAGCTCTGTGGGGATTTAAGCACCAGTGCTCCACAGTAACTACATGATTCAGAGAAGTTCACCTGGGTATTTTTATTTGAACATCATCTGGCCTGAATGGAACAGAATTGCTTGCCCTGAATCCCCCAGTGTGAGAAAGCCCCTGACCTTGGATGCAGGGCTGGACTGGAACTAAGCAAGAGTGCCAGTCCATGGCCAGAACCTGGGAAAGACAGTACAGGGCCCAAACCCTTGGGGTCGTAGTCAGAGTTTCCTATCAATTCTGGCCTCAGGAACACTGCAACTTAGAGAAGTTTGATTCTGTTCCACTCAAAACGTTGCAGAAATGCTTCTGGGCCCCATCAGAAGACTGGCCATGTTCCAGGTCTTAAGACAGGTATTTGAGTTTTAAGAAACCCTGGTGTGAAGGGGCCCAGAGAGAGGCCCTTGGGCCTGCATTCCCAGCAAACCAACATCACTAGGATGGGCAGAGAAACAGGAAGGGAGAGGCAGGACTGTTTTTCTCAGCTCCCAGGGCTGGGCAGAAGAGATAGAAACTTCTAGAGAAGTCAGTTCGTCCTTTGTCCATGTGGTCCAAGGCTGAAAGGACCCAGAGCTTCAGAAGCTTAAGCTGAGCAGCAGGAGGCAGGCTAAGGCGGGCTAAGGCTGACTGGGAAGCAGAATGCTTGGGAGAGTGGGGGTTGGACCTAAAGGAGGGGCCCGGGAAAGAAGACCATGGAAGGCCTAAAATTGGAAGGACAAGTAGGAACACAGGCTATCTGCCAGAGCTAAAACTCTGTGGAATCAAGGGCTGTACCCCAAAGGATGGAGGACCCAGGGAAGCAGGAGAGACACCATGAGCTTCATGATGGTGCCACTTTACCTCATGCCAGTCTTCAGACCTGCAGGCCTGATTGGTCAGGCAATTTGACTACTGTGAAGTGACATTACAGCCCTGCCCTATGTCCTAGAGGGGGCCCATATTTGCTGATATGACACATCCTGGCAAAGCAGGCACCACGTGTTTTCCAGGCCCATGGAGGAAAGAAATACCTTGGTGCTGTAGTTTACTGTCCTCATCCCAGGTGATTTGGGCCACAGGTGTGGTTCCATGTTTCCCTGGAAGGAAAGAAAGAAATGTTTCAGTACAAATTTAAGAACTGAAGTATAGGTAACTTTAAATCTCTAAAACTTCTTGGAGGCTTCAAGATACCCACATGAATTCAATATCTCCAAAAGGGTCATGGAACAGAGGCTGTCACATCCATTTTTTTTGCCCTCAGGGAAGTTTTTTTGTTGGTTGGTTGCTTGGTTGGTTGTTTTTTGGTCTTTTGAGATAGGGCCTCCCTATAGCCTCAGTTGGCCTGGAGCTCACTATGTAGACCAGGCTGGCCTTGAACTCACAGAGATCCACATGCCTCTGCTTCCTGAGTGCTGGGATTAAAGGTGTGCTCCACCATGCCCCACTTTAGGAAATTTAAAAAAAAACTCTCGTATGTTTCGGAAACAAATGCTATAGAACCATACTTTAGATTGCTCAGATTTCTACTCTCAAAATCTTACTGGAGCCCTAGGAAATTAAAAAAAAAACTCTCGTATGTTTCGGAAACAAATGCTATAGGAACCATACTTTAGATTGCTCAGATTTCTACTCTCAAAATCTTACTGGAGCCAGGCATCATGGTGCACACCTTTAATCCCAACATTCACAAGGCAGAATCAGGTGGATCTCTATAAGACTGAGGCCAGCCAGTTCCAGGCCAGCTTGGGCTACAGGAAGACCCTGTCTCAAAAAAACGAAACAACTTACTGGAAATACTACCAGCCTGCCCACCTTTCTTACTGCACATTGCATACTGTCCAGTATTACTAGCTAATAGTCCATCTAGGCAGCAACCTCTTCTAGGTCCCAGGTAGGGCTCACATCTTGTCACACGTGCCCCCCCCCAACCTCCAGAGCTATGAAACATACAAGATTTGTAAGAAAGATGGATAGCTCAGGTGATGAACTTTAGTTTGTGACTAGTGTTTATGATCTATTTGAGGGCCAGCTGTTTTGAACTATGATTTGAATTTGAACAAGCAACAAAAAGATTGTTCCTAAACAACTACCACCCACCATAACTATCTCATTCCTTCCTCAGATCATCCTCCATGTGACTACCCAAAATAGTTTCTCTGAAGATTGCTTTCCTAGGGCTCCCTTCCTACACAGTTTTGAGGAAACACAGATTGATCCTAAATACCCTAACACTTCCTTGTACCTCCACCAACAAACAAAATGCAGAAGATTTAACTCAAAGGTACTTGTTACTGAAATATGGAAAAGACTTCAGATAGTATGATTTGGTCTCTGCAAGCTAGTACCCATGGCCTGGACCCACAGAAGGCCTTCTAGAAGAGAAGTTGAAGACACAGGGGCACGTTTCCTTTAATAAACTCAGAATTTCCTCCTATAGGCCCCTAAGCTATAGGGCACTTGCAATTTAATACCTTGGTCTTTCTTCTTTCCCTAGTTTGGAGACAAAATCAAGCAAAAAGAATACACAAAAGCTTTGGGCTTCAGAGAATTGTGGCTCTGAGAAAGTCATTAGCTTTCAAACCTGTTGGACACACATGATTGACATTCTATTTGACTCCCCACCACCTACTCCCCCACTTCCTTACAGAATTCATATTAGAAATAAAATCTGATGGTCAAGGACTCTACCAATACTGCATAAAGAATACGCAAGGAACTCCTCAGAAAAGAGAAAGTTACTCAGTAAAGCAGCTTTTATTTTTGTAAAAAGATCCACTGAGTGATCATTCAGATCCAGCATGCGTACTTGTCCAGGAAGTTTGATAGGGCTTTTTTTTTTAATGTGTATGAGTGTTATATATAGGTGTACCCATGTGTACAATGCCAGCAGAGGCCAGAAGAAAGTATCAGATCACTTGGAACTGGAATTTCAGGTGGTTCTTAGCCACCATGTGGGTGCTGGGAGTTGAACCTGGGTCCTCTGCAAGAGCAGCTAGTGCTCTTAACCACTGAGTCATGTCTCCAGCCCCAGTATGATAGATATGTATCCCTAACACAAGAGTACTGTGTCTCTTCCTCATTTACTAGAGTCCAACCTCACAGTCTTTCCTAGTTGGCTAGTTTAAAAGGCAAAGGATGGGGACGACAGTTGACAAAAGAGGGGGAAGGGCTCTGCCACTATAGGCCATCTAGTTCTAGGAATGCCTCAAGGCCTTTTGGTAAATTAAAGTCTTACAGGGTGCATGTAGTTGGGTGGAGATATTTGAATTCCTTGTCATAAACCAAAAGTTTTATAAAGTTTGAAAGAAAAGACTAATATTTGATGTTTCTTACATGCAGAGGTATTTGTGGGGAGTTGACCTCAATTTCTCTGATTGAGTCAAGAAAGACACAATTTCTCCTATTCGTGGTTGACTCTGGACTAAGTATACACCCTGATTCTGGCCAAGGTTTGCTAGAGGTGTTGACCTCTCTTTCCCTTAACAGTGGTGAACCAAGAAGCCACCTCTGGCCACAAGGACAAGCAACCCTAGGATGGACTCCATTCAAAGATAGCAGAGCGAGGTAATCAAGACTCTGCATCTTTAGTGGCATTGTTGATTAGCTTGTCTAACTCTTACAGATGCAAAAAACAGCTCTTGCTCCAAAGGGAGTGTTGTAGTATGACTTTTTATCCAGGTATAATATGGTCATCCCATCTCCATGTTGAAGTAGAAATAGTCATGCCCAGTAGTCATGGCAATGGCAATGAGAGAGAGAATAATGTAACAATAGGTAATTTACAGCAATGGTAACAGGTTATTGCCTCCCTGCCTCCTGTACCCAGCACTCCATTCCCCACCTTCTTTATTCTTGACTGCAAATAATTTTGGGAGATGCCAGAGTGTATATACTGGAAGTATATATAGTGGAAGATTGCCTGGCATGATGGCACACGCCTTTACTCCCAGCACTTGGGAAGCAGAGGCAGGCAGATCTTTGTGAGTTCGAGGCCAACCAGATCTACATAGCGAGCTCTAGGCCAGCTGGGACTACAGGAAGACCCTGTCTCCAGAAGACAAAAATTAATTAATTAATTAATTAATTAATTAAAATTAAAATTAAAAAAAAGTGGAAGACTGACTGAAAGGGGGACTCCATGATGCAGATTCCATGAATGGGACTTTACAGGGATACAGCTCTTTGGGGTTCACCCATGTTCCTGTAAGTAGCAAACTCAATAAACTAATTGGCTCACCAAGCTGAACTTGAGTGGAATTGTTACTTTGGTCTGTTATTGGTGCCCTAGAATAAAAGTTTCTCACATCTCCTCAGGAAATATTATACAGCAGGAAGAAAGACATTGCTTATTCTGAACCAAACATGAGCAACCACAGCCCAGGAACATGGATTCAGGTTACCCTGAATGTCACATTCCACTGTGCAAGAGGTTATGTGAACTTTTGTAGTCACAGAACAAAAGATAATCATAAATTGTATTTACCAACTACATTGGTCAAGTAGCTGAGTTATAGAAGAGCCAGGAAATTTCTTCTATGTGTTATCCTAATATTCTTAGCGTTCGGGTTGGTGGAAGCTAGTGGTCTGCTAAGCTTACTAGTACATTCCAAAAGTTTTACCTAATAGTCAAAAGATGTTTGGTCAGATACAAAGGTTAGCTGTAATGGCTATTACAAAACTAGAGATAGCCCAAGATATAATTTTGGCTCCTGATCTGCAACATTCCATTTCTCCAGTCAGGAAGTTCTAGTTAGTCTGTCTGCAAGATCTTCCACACAGAGGAGCTTCCCTAGGGAACTTCAATTCCCACCCATCCAGGCCTTCCTACTCAAATCCACTTCTACCATGTTTAAGCCAGTCCACACTGGCTTACACCCCAGAAAGCAGCCATATAGGAAAAGGCCAGCAAGCAATTAGGAAGTCTGTTCTTTCATACATAAAAGCAATCTTGAAAATGCAACCATTGGGGCTGGGTAGATGGTTCAGTTAGTAAACTACTTAGTGGGCAAGCATGAGAACCTGAGTTTGGATTCCAGCACTCACATAAAAACTCAAACCTATAATTCCAAGACTGGGGAGGCAGAGACAGGCAGATCCCTGGGGCTTGCTGATCAGCCAAGTCTAACCAATCAGTGAGTTCTGGGTTTAGTAAGAGACCCTGCCTTAAAAAAAAAAAAAAAATGGAAGGAAGGAAGGGAGGGAGGGAGGTAGGGAGGGAGAGAGAGAGAGAGAGAGAGAGAGAGAGAGAGAGAGAGAGCTAAACTCTTTGGCATGTGTGCATCCACACACCTACATACATACACACACACAAATAAAACACTTTTTAAGTGGAAAGAGAAGGAGGGTACCCAATACTGACCTGTGGCCTACACACACACCTGATGCACAAACATGTACATACACATGAACACACACACAAAGCCAATGAGAGAGGCAGGTGGATCTCTGTGAGTTTGAGGCCAGCTTACTCTATATAGTGAGTTCCAGGCTGGCTGGGGCTACAAGGATACCCTATCTCAAAAAGACCAAAAAGAAAAAAAAAAAGCCAAGGAGATGGCTTAGCAGGTAAAAGCTCTTGACTTGTAAGCCTGATAACCTGAGTTTAATCCCTAGAGCCCAAGACAGAAGGTGAGAACTGACTCCAAAAGAATTGTCCTCTGACTTCCATGTGCACTCAGGCAAATAAGCACACACATACATACAGTATCGCTGTGAAATTGAGACCAGCCTGGTCTACATAGAGTTCCAAGCCAGCTGAGGCCACAGGGAGATCCTGTCTCAAAGAGACCAGAAGCAATAATAATAATAATAACAACAACAACAACAAGAAAGAAAATGCAACCAAAGAAGCTTCATTTCCACTTCGAAGAGTTCGCTTGCCCTCCTACCAGACTTATAGTAGGTCTTCAATATTTAAATGACTCCTAACTGTCTATACAACTCTAGAATGAGATGCTGGTGATGTCTGGATTCTAGAAAAGGGCTTACTTGGTAGGTGTGAAAAGTGCTAACAGACTCAGCTGGGAGCCCAGGCCTTTCCTAGACTCTGGGAAGAGCAACTGGGGCACAGTTCTTCCTGTTCCCTGCTACCTAGTAA